CCAAGGAGCCAGGTCTGCCTCCAGCTCTGAATACTTGACTCAGACGTCGCTTTGAATCAAAGGGACACAGTCCAAAAGCTCATTCCAGAACTCAGGTACAGATCTGACAAAGGGGACTGGCTGAGGATGGTCTGACCTCTGCTAGGAAAAGGTCACCCAGGGCTGCTGGCCAGTGGCTAGTTGTGTGGAGAGGTTTTAAATTGGATAAATAAAATACGATTTATGCTGAATTTATAAACAGAAAGCGAGAGATAAAGGCGGATTTACTAGAGAAGCTATACACAATAAAGTATGCATATATTCACTTCAATTATCCCACCAACAGCAAATTCCTGTTAATATATTTCATCTGCACGTGATTGGGTAGCTGAAGTGACACATTTTATTATACTTGATCATTGATACCATTTATTGTGGGAAAACTCTCAAACTCTTTAGTAAATCAGCCCAATAAACTCAGTGCATTGGACTTTACCGTCTGGGTGAAATCAAGAAGGCGTCTTTGATAATTGTGCACCTTGATCGATCAGCAGGGGCTATTGATAAAGCCCACACGGTTATCTTGCCCTGCTCAGGAAATGAAAATGACATCACGCTGACGCCATGTATTCTTAAGGAACGTAACCCGATTGTCCCTGATAGCCGGCAAGCCTTTTAAATCTAACACGCCATGGTAATAATGAAGTGCAGTAGTTGGATTATAGGAAGGTTACATATCAGGGGTCACCAGCGTCAGGCAACAGGAAATGGACTGAAATGTTAATGGAAAACAATGGAGCCCCCCAGATCCTGAGTGAATTGTTTTAGTTCCATTCTCTTTTGAAGTGGGTGAAGCGGAGGCTCCGGCCACACCTGGTCCGAATTTCTGTGTGTCCTCTGGTTTGGGGGCTGGAGAAGAAGCCTCTTCAATAGGGATCGTGCCGGATTAGGTTACGTTTGCTTGGGGTTTGATTTAACAGGGTCCTATAGTAGTACAGGTAAAGCTGTATAAACAGCCCAGGGCTGAATCTCTGAGGGTTATACAGAGGACACGGCCCAGGGCACAGATCAGAATACTTTCCGATGTAAAACAACTTCTGTTCAGCCTACATGGGAAAATAGAGGATGATTGTGTATGGGGATGACTGTCCAGAGTGGGGATTTTGCTGATCTCATTCCAAAGTCGGCTTCCCTTCATCACTACATGACCAGCCATGAATGTCTTACTTTACTGGTGCATGTGAAGGACCCATGGGGCTGGGGTACAGCAAATGCAGCCAATTAGATTTCAGCTTTCATTCTCTATCATAACTTAGGGAATTGAAACAAAGAATCTGAATGGTTCCCACCAGAAACATCTCTACTCTTGTTTTATGCAGCACTTATAAATCAGGGCAATCAAGAATTAATCAAATCCATATCCTGAATGCTTCATGTTAAATGTCAGTAGACTGGCTGTACTATTAGTACTAAATAATAATAATAATAATAACGATGATAATAATAATAATAATACAACGACCAATCGTGTCATATACAACTAGTAATAATATTAATAGGAGCTTCGATCTTGCAGGCTCCTGTTTGCTGCTCCAGCTGAGTTAACTGGTTATTTATGAGAGGAATGGAAAATGGATTACAGGTATTTTGTCTGCCTCTATCTCAGACTAGATGTGTTTTAGTTAGATGTCTCCAGAGGCCATTGAGAACAGTTCAACTGACACATTTCTCCACTTGAGTGTAAACATTTAACATCCAAGCCCTTAACTATCACATAGCTGTATCTAGAGCCGGACAGACGGAGAGCAGCCCCGCACTAGGGCAGGTGACAGCAGCCAGCATGGGCTCATCATTCTCACACTCGCCCTGCCGGCACACTGGCTGCACCATGTTGGCAGCAGCCTCTGAGTCCCTAACTTGTGCACAATGCCCCCTTCTATTAGTGTGATTGGCACACATCATAATCTGAATCAATGCAGACACACAGCTACGTGCTGATGAGGTGGCACAATGCAAACACTGAAAAAAAAAATAGAGGAAAAATAGCAAATGCCAGTACCAATTCTATGCTACCCCAAACTAATTGTTTTAGAAGACATTAGAAGAATACACTTAGCCCTGTCTAGCTACCGCTATTTGTAGGTGTTTACATGAGGAAGGACAGTGACAGCACAACACACAACAATCCCTCTGTACTGTATACACAGTGTAATGTGTAAAATCATAACAGAAAATAGTCAAATATTTATCTGGCTAGTCCAGTCATTATTAGACTCCATGGATGTGACTGGATGCTTTTGGATGCATGTGGCACTAATGTCATTCGGTACAGGGATGATCATAATTTAAGATATGCATTGGGGTTGTATTCCTCTAGTGACTAATAAATATGAATAGCCTTTGGCAGGAAAGGCGTATGGACCTCATTGCAGCGTTTCTTATCATGATCATTCTTAGAATCTTATATCAGGGCTTGCTGATGTGTTTGCAGATTAAACCAGAAAGATAAAATAATCTTATTTTTCAGCAAAAGGGACTCAGCACGGAAGGGGCTTTATTACTGTAGAGATGTGGTTCTCACTGCAGATCTGTGATCGCGATATGCCCCAGACGATGGAAAATAATTACAACCCCAGCAAATAACATCAAAGACGTACATCTGCTGGGGTTTTTATGTAACACTCTCTGTACACCACCGTCCTAAGAAATTACATCAACGGTAAAGACATTCATTTCTACAGAAATATGTTAGATAGATAGATAGATAGATAGATAGATAGATAGATAGATAGATAGATAGATAGATAGATAGATAGATCTGCGAACCTAATTCAAACAGTGAACAAATTAATGGCACTCAATTTGCTCTAATTGATAATAATATGAATATAAGATGACTTGTTATCTATCATAAGCTGCCCTGTCTATATCTATCTAGTCATCTGCCAAGCCCCTTTTTCACTCGCTATAATGTTAATATTATTATTATTATTATTATTATTATTATTATTATTATTATTACTACTATTATTA